TTTCCATACTGCTAAGCTATTCATTTAACTACCTTTGCATTTTAAAAATTGTCTCCAACTCGTTTTACACTTATCAACATCAACTACCTGCGGCAAATGCCAGCTGACAGGTCATGAGTCAAATGGAATTAATTAAACCGAATCAGTGAAATGTGTATACTTTCAGAGCACAAGTGTACCACACCAACCTCTCAGCGCAATTTGTTACGCTGTCCGCGTTTGCTGTGTACATCTCAATCTTAATTTGCAAGCACTTTGACCACGCCACCGAACCAAGATATTGATCCTAATGAACTTTGGAATCAACTGCGGAAAAATAAATGATAAAAAGAAAAAGAGCAGCTTCATCAGAAATTCCTGAAACATAGTTATGATTTCTGCTGATGCTGCAAGTTTGCGTTATCGCGCTCACATCCACATTTGAAGATGGAAACCGTAAGGTTCTTTTGATGAGCATTTACTAAGTATTTCCGTTGGCTGTTAACTCCAGTGCATTGCTCTGGCCTCATCCGTCGCCCCTTCGTTAGAGACAACAATTGCAAAGCGATTGAGAACGGCGATGGCGCCGCCCACTCGCTTTCATTTCGAAAGTACAGAGTTCCAACAAAAAACAATCAAAGCACAGAAGTGGGAATTTAGTTTCAAGGTTGCATTTTGTGCTCCATTCCAGTGATTGCGCGCCATGCCCATCCTCTTACTTTCCGCTTCCTTTATTGTTATTGAAAAATATTTGTTTGTGGAATTGTTTCTGTAAAAGTGTGTGTAGCAGTAAACGAAGTTTCGTTTGGCGTTTACTCAAGAGAAGGCATAGAGAGATGTTGACAGTTTTTGCTGCAGAGGGAGCTTTAGAAAGCAATACCACTGGTTACAGTTCTTCTATTTGCTCAGGTTTGGAGTGGGGAAAACTACGACAATAACTGCATTTACCTTAAATAAAGGACTTGAAAAATATTTTATTTTTTGTTTGGATTTACCATATTTCATTACATCAGCTACGTTCAAAATCTTATTTAATATAATTTAAATAAACTAATAGTTTGGATCAAACCTTGTTGAATTGGATGAATATTCATGGCAGCTGCATGAACTGGGGAGCAGACACATCAAGAAAAAGAGTTACTCTAACAGAAGCTTTTTTTCATCTCAACCATGCACTTGGCCGCAACACATGCGGGGTAGCATATATACAGAGAGCTGACGAGGGAAGCAAGACGCATTTTCAGGGAAAAAAAGAAATAGGCCGAAAATCATGATTATGAGGAGTTTGAGAAACTGGCCGATAAGGGTAACGCTCGTAAGCTCTACGAGACGATACGACGACTTACGGAAGGTTTTAAGACCGGAACATACTCTTGTCGGACCCATAGGCCATAGGAGTGAACCAATGACCAAGAGTATACTGAATTTATGCAGGGAACACTTTTCTAGGTTTCTGAATGGCAGTGAAAATGATACACCCGGAGATGGTGAACCTGAAACCTCAATCGAAAACGATGGGAAAGGCGTTCCATTACCTGACGGTGACAAAGTTCGAATAGTAATTGCCCGCTTAACAAACAACCATGCGGCTGGAGCTGAGGGCTAAGAAGGTAAGGTATTCACTATGCGCCAAATCTTGGCAAAACTCGTGAAAAGAGGATCTGCACCCGCCACTTTTTCGTTGATTTTAAATCAGCCTTCGACAGCATAATGAGGCGCTGTCTTTACGCCGCTATGTCTGAATTTACTACCATCGCATAACTGTATGATACTACTGGCCTCAACAACCGTGCTATGAGTTCTGCTTTCTCCAGATTGGAGAAGCTAGTGAATGAGGGCAAGACAAAGTATCTCCTACCATCACACAAACAGGCATTGCTTCCGCAAATCGGCTCCCATGTCACTGTTGATAGCCATAACATCGAGGTTGTGGATAACTTCGTCTATAACGTAAATAATAATGTCAGCCTTGAAATCTAGTTTAGAATCACTTTCGCCAGCAGATGTTTCTTGGGACTGAGTAGGCAATTGAAAAGTAAAGTTCTCTCCCGGCGAAGGAAAATCGAACTATACAATTGCAAGGTTTTTGCGAAAGATTTACGGTCCTTTGCGCATTGGGAGCAGCGAATATGGCAGACAATGGAACTATGAGCTGTACAAGTTATAAAGCGATGTAAAGTTACGCTGCGCTGGCTAAGTCCTGTGGTCCGGATGAATACGAATAACCCAGCTTTGAACGTTTTCGAAGCAGTCCACCCGCCGGTGGAATCAGAGAAAGAGGAAAAACTGAACTCGGTTGGAAAGACCAAGTGGATAATCACCTGGCTGTTCTTGGCATTTCCATTTGGCCCTAGACAACTAAAATCGCATAAGCAATGTCTACGCCAATAAAATAGGTAAGTAAGTAAATAAGATTTACAGGTTTTCGGGTACTCAACTTACCAAAAATTTAATTTCCAGGACTTTTGGACTCTTTTGTTCTTACAATTACAATTAGAAGCTCGCGAAAACTGAAGCATGAAGGCACATCTGTGACTATCCTCAACCACGATCTAATACAAAGTTAGCTAAGGTGGTTCACTTAGCGCAACTATAGAACTCTTCAAAGGTAGCCGAGGAAAACAGAGGGTATTACTGTAGCTTAGACCGTCGTTCTGTGATCGAAGGCGGATGAAGGTCTCTTAGCTCATCTCGTGGTGTTTTCCAGCGAAAATGGTCTTTAAGTTGTTGAGGGGTGATAATTTAGACTTCATTTCCCTAAGGTCCGCTTTCCTGGGGCATTGTTAGTATCTTTGAACAATTGGAGGCTCTCTGTTGCCTATCTTTTCAAAAACTTTCAAGGCTGCTTGCCGGACTTTTAAGGTTACATTGATATATGAATTTATATAATTTGTTTACATTATTTGCAGTTAAATTTTTTAAGAGATCAGTAGGCTTTTTATTATGAAAAATATTTATTCTTATGTTTCTAAATTTTAAGCAATCATCGATGATGTGTTTAATGGACAGAGGGCTATTACAAGTTAGGCATGAAGGAGCAGGCTCCTTTTTCAGTAGGTGCTCGTGTGTGATCTTCGTGTGCCCCAATCGCAATCTTGCAATAATTCGCAGCTGGTCGGTTGATGCTGAGGTTGGGAGGATAGGCTTACACCGGTTTTGATTATAGGTTTTGTAAGAGTGTTGATACGTTTGCTAGTTTCTAACCATAATTTCTTTAATATAATTTTCTGTTGTCCGGAAAAGGTCTACTTTCATGTAGGTATTGTGGTAGATACTTGGCATTTGGTAGGCTTTTTTGGCTGCAGTAATACCGCAGTGGCCAGGTACCCACATGATTTTTATTTTGGAGTGATGATTCGATAACATATCTCTGGACTCTGTAATGAGTAGTTCATTGCTCAGATGATTTTGGAGTGCTTTTACACAGGATTTGCTATCGGAACAAATTATGTATTTGCCTTTGCCATGCGTGACGTGCCTTATGGCTAAGTTAATGGCAATACGTTCGGCGGCAAAAATTGAACAGTAGGAGAAAAGAAGTCCGGATCTGATGATTCTTCCTTCTTCCGTAACAACTGCGAATGAAGTCGAAAGGTCGCTTTTGGATCCGTCTGTGTATAAGAATTTCCACCCATTGATTTTCCACGATGTTTGGCTTTCCAGAAAAGTTTTTCGGTTGATCAAAGGGTTTGGTTTTTGTTTCGGATAGACAAAAAGTTGATTTATAAAAACAGATAAAGGTAAAAGCTATGTTGGATTTTTTGCAGTTTTGGAAAGTATTGGATTGTGCATTGGAAAACGTTGTAAATTGTTGATGGTCTTCGCATTTTACGCGTTCTTTTAGTTATGTTTTTCATGTCCTTAATAATAAAGAGTAAACCGAAAGACGTGTGTTTGAACGCTATAAGCACGATCACTGAGAACGGTAGAACCGATTGGCACAAGTGACAGTCGAAGACTGGGGACAGATTTTAATACCGCTACTTCCTTCTGCTGTTTCATACATTGTATGGCCCTACTGAGCTGTAATTCTCGTGGTCTAAACTGCGGTATGGTCTCCCCTTCAGGAGCTTAAACCATTAGAGTTTGATTTTCATCCTGGATCCTAGCATTGGTCACTATGAGTCTTGGACGCTGAAAAAATTTGGTGTGGTTTTGTATCGTCGTATCAACCGATTGTATTTTTACCAGCGCTACGTTGAGGTGGCATTTTTGTAACTAATGTTTCATTCGGTTCTTAGGACATCTACTGATACGAAGCTTTTCGATGTTCTGAAAATGAAAAAAATATATTATATATCTTAGAATATCCACTAGAATACAGTCAGACTCCCCTGATTGGAAACCATTCAATGGGTGACTTTATACCCTGTTTTATATATTATTGTATAGGAAATGTCCGACACGCTTGTTATATAGAGCTATAGAGTTGTGTGGTCTAACGGAGACACTTCCAGAAGATCCAATTTCTCATATTATTGGTATTATTTATTTAGGTTATTCTGATTTGGGCTTAAACCTGTGATCAGAAAAACTCCAGCCTTGGAGAAAACACGTTAAAATAATAGGAAACTCATTTTCTCTCAATGTCCTTTAATGAAGATTTCGGTACCGTCATCACATCCTTCATGTGTTATTACTTGCTGCATGAAGAAGTCTTATCATCAAAACTATTAACCGTGGTCAGGGCCATTTAAAGTACATATGTATCTACTAATACTTATGTACATATATGCGCGTGCAGAGAGTTCACCTCATGGAGCTTTCTTATCATTTAAGCACACTCTCAGCAATGTCCTGCTCTCCCCTTAGCGCCGCACATGTCCTTGCGGTGTTTGCTTCCATTGTTCATCAGCTGTTTCACAGCATCCTAAACTGCGCACGTGCTCCGCTCTCCGAGCATACTCAGTAGAAATTCACCATACACGTGGTTCTCGTCATGCACACACACTACACAGCTTAGGCTTGATACCTGCTCTGGACCACTGCATCATTCAGTCATCGTCGCGCTGTCATCTTTATTGGTTCACTTTTCGGAAGGAAATAACGCAACGGAAACGGTTGAGAAAACAACAACATCTGCTGTTAGTGAAGGTGTGTGTGTTGTGAGTGCATGGAAGTGGGTGTGTGTTCACATTTGTGTGTTTATAAGCGCGCGGATACATATACATATGCATATATGTAAACACATCCGTACATATTGATTGTTTATACCTACGTATATGTGAATCTCGATAAAAACAAAGTGAGTGCAACATTTTTTGGGAATATCTTAACAGTTTTGCTGGGGTCAAATGGATATACGAGTATATATATGCATGTGGACTCATGAAAAAGTTCTGAAAATATCAAATGTGAAGAGAACATATTGCATGTAAATCTGTAAAATATACAATATAAACATTTTATAAGGATATGAGTGTTATATAAATTACATAATTGTACTTATGTATTTAAATAAAAAATAAAAATAAAAAAAACTGTCTGGTGGCCTGTGAGTTGGCCAAGCAGGCAGTCGGCCTCTCTGTCAAGTCAAAATTCTTTAATTGCATGTGACACATTTCGCATTTGCTGTGACATATTCGAGTGACAGTGATGTAAGTATAACGGTAACAACAAACAGTGTGAAATAAATCGATTGAAAATACTGTCAAATTTGTGATAAGGAAAAACTACACACATCCATCATTACATACATACGTGTAAGTATGCACCACAACGTGTCAGTAGTAAAGTTACTAATGTGCCGCAAGTCTGAATTTTACCGTTAATTAAGCTCTTTTTTCCTCATACTCGTACTTACAACGCGCATTAAGTAACGCTGCACTCTCCTTTAGATATATAAGTATTTATGTGAAAAAGTAAATAGCATACCGCTAATTGCAAACGTATGTATGTACATATGTACATAAATAAATGAGAAACGATTCAGCATTAAGTGTACTAGTGTGTGTGTATGTGTGATTACGAGTGCTCGCAAAGTTAATTGGCGGCAAATATTGATGATGATGTTGACAGCGACGAAGCCATAACTCGGTCACTCGGTCGTGGCGTTGGAGTCACATGTTACGCATAATTAATGATAAAAACAAATATGTATGACAAATAAGCGGATATGCGCATATGTATGTATTGAAAACTAACAATGTGCTTTTATATCTATGAGCAAACAACAAAACTATCGTCGCCATAAAGTTATGCACATATGAACATACATACATATTTTATGATGAAAAACAGAAACTTTGCGCTGCGTGTGTGTAGTTATTGTTTTTGCTTGTTGATACCCTAAGGGCGCTCAAAGAGCGTCTCGTGGCTGATAGAAACGGAAAGTTATAGTCTGCGTTTCCTGCTGCCTGTGCGAATCTATTATTAATTAATATTTTATAATAAAAGCATACACGTATGTATGAGCGTCTGTCTTTATTTGTACGAGTGCTTTAAAACGACTGATTTATTGTGAATCTGTAAATATACATATTCACTTAAGTACATTATGCAGACTGTGTAATAATTACAAATTATATGTCACAAATAAAATGATAATCATAAACAGATAACATTACAATGCTAAAATAATATTGTACAAAAAAAATAAAATAAATGCAATAAAAGAAACAAAATTCAAAATAAATAAAATGAAATAAAATAAAATAATAGTAAAATATAATAAAATAAAATAATACGAATGAAATAGATAAAATTAAATTTAAAATAATTACAATTGTAATAAAAATAAGATAAAGAAAAATTAAATAATATTATATGAATTAAATAAAAATAAATAATAATAAATAAAGTTAATTGAAATAAAATTAATTAAAATAAAACAATATGAAACAAAAAAAAATAATTAAATAATTAAATAATGTGAATTGAAATATAAATATTTAAAAAAAATATAACAACACAAAATGAATATAAAAAATGGAGAGAAATAAAATAAAACAAATTTAAATAAGTTAAATAAATTAAATAAATATGAATTGCTCCAAAATAATATAAAGTAAATTAAAAAATATTACATTAAATAGTGTAATATAAAATGAAATAACACAAAATGAAGATACAACTTAAATTAAATCAAAATAAAAAATTTTATTTAAAAGATTTAAAGTAAAACATTGAAAAAAATGAGACTGAACACTAAATTTGAAACTACTCAAAAGCCAAAAAAAAAAATGTAGCAAACTATTGTAAATTGGAATGAAATAATATAACGCAAAATAGGATAATAATAAATGAAATAAGACGAAGTAAAGTAAATTCAATAAAAATCTATTTTAAATTAAATAAAATAAAATTAAATAAATTAAAATTATTTAAATTAAATAAAGTAATATGAAATAAAATTAAATTAAATTTTTTTAAATTTATGAAATTAAATATAATAAACTTTAATAATATAAAATAACTGGACAAAAAAATGAAATAATCACTGGAAAATATAATTATGTAATAAAAATATAGAATTTGTAAAATAAACTTAAACTAAATAATATGAAATAAATAAAATAAAATAACACAATTTGATATATAATATAATAAATAAAATAGCCTCTAAAATAATTAAATGAACTAAATTAAAACATAAAAAATATATAAAATAACCTAAAATTAATTAAAACATATAAAGTGAAATACAAATAAGTAAATTTGACGAAATAAATTAATTTTAATGAAACAAAATAAGCTACATTAAAATAATATTAAATTATAGAGCTAAAAAAAATTAAATAAAACAAAATTAAGGAAATAGTTATATTAAATCAACTTAAAAAAATAAGTTAAAAAGATGTTAAGTAAAAAGTGAAATAAAATGAAATGAAATAATAAATTTAATAATACTGAAAAATTAACATTAAAATGTACTGAAATAAAGTAAGTTAAAACTAAAAAGGCAATATAAGGTAATCATTAATCAAATAAGATGAAGTAAAGTAAATTCAAATAATTCAAAAAAAAAAATTAATATAAATTTAATTAATTTAAGTTTTTTGGATGTTAGTATGACACCAGTACTTGAACCCGAGCCCTCCGGATGGCAGAACGCAATTCTAACCACTTGACTACCACGCCGGCCAAAAAAATTAAAATTATTAAAAAATTAAGTAAACAACAACCAAAAAGTTATAAGATTTAATTACTCTTAATAAAACAGTGCAAAACAAAGAAAAATAAAATAAAGTGAAGAAAGAAGTAAATAAAATAATATTAAAGTAATAAAAAAAATGTTTAAGAAAAGTGGTATAAAAAAAAAACAAGATAAATTCAAATATTCTGAAAAATTAGAAATAAAATGTAATAAAATAAACTAAAATGAAATAAAATATTTCATAATATATTCATAAATATACGGGTTTGGCGTATTTTAAGCGCCGAAACAACAATTGGAGCAATCTGTTTTCAGGTTGGCATACATTTTCTGCGATGGTGCGACGCCAATTAGAAAAAGAAAATTGGAGACGAATTCCAAAAACCATTCGTAATAGTCGATTATAGCTCTACCTTAGTTGTTTTAAACGTGATCACTGTGAAAACTAAATTTTCTATATTATTCCTGTATTTTATGCATCATAGGAAATATATTAAAAATTTTAGACAGGCAAGGAAGAGCCTTATAAATATACCATTCAAATACTAACCGAAAGAAAAGTTTAAGTATAATGTCCTAAAAACTGTTATTTCTTAATGTTTTTGGTACAATCAGAATTTGCAAAGTTTCGTATATCTATACAAAAAAATATCAATTGTTATTGGAATATAAGACTTTGGATAAAAAAACTTTGTTGTTAATTTAGTTGAGAGTTAAACAGTTTATTAAGTGCCATAAGCAAAATTCATCAAACTGCGTCAATTTGAAGTAAAACATGCTATATTTATCTCTAAATCAAATATGAATCATAAGTGAGTCAAATTAATACAGTTATGATTTCTTGGAACCTTATTTGTTCAACAAATTAATACAGTTATGATTTCTTGGAACCTTATTTGTTCAACAACGTTCCCCTATAAATAATGTGTGGTGCGTAAGTCGCAGGTGTAAGCAAATAAAGTGCTAAAAAGACATATTTACACATGTACATATATGCCTGTGTCCCAAAGGACGAGTTATTATTTTGAAAAACATCAAAACACATTCATTGGTGTCGTTGAAACACATAAACGCAATTAAACGGGAATGTAAAGTATAATGTCTAAATGCACACATTTACATTACAGCATGAAGCAAGTGTTAATTAAATAAAATTATGTATAATAAATGTATCTACAGCAGTTGGAGGGATTTGCTTATTACGAATAAAGTTATTTCACACTGTTACATCTGAATTTTCATGTAAATATGTAAGTATTCACAATTTATGTTTGAATATTTGATATTATGTTTCATATTAAGTACATATTATAAGCATATGCGGGAAAGTGTCGTATATTCGCACATTGTATTGCATTCTGTGTGAATTTCTGTGCTGTTAAAAATGTGGAAAAAATACGGTAGAAGGGGAATTTAATTTTTTGCTAGTCCTCAAATCAATCACCTGAAATGCCACAGTTTTATAGGTCTTCTCAATTTTGGGAACAGAAAAAACTCACTCGAGTCCGAAAGTGATGCATACGGGGCTCAAGCATGTTAACGGCGTTGATTTGCTAAAAAAAATTGTAATAATAATAATACGAATAAAAACAGGTCCTTTGTCATTACAATTACATTACAATAAGATGTACTGACGTTACAAACCGTCACCGTGAGATCGAAGAAAACAGTGACCATAACATTAAACTTGGGGTGCTTTTTTGTTTTGAGCTCTTTCATTGAGGCGATCGGCATTGGTTTTGATGTCATAATCATTGGCGCATGACTCTTCGTCATTTAAATCTACACCATCTATGACTTCATTCCAAAATTCTTTAACATTTTTCAGGCGACATAAAGTAGCTTTGGAATTATATTTGCAAGCATATCAATTTTTAATTGATAATTAATGTGGAGAATCTACCCTACGATATTGTGCTCCACCTACTTATTACAATTCTTGGTATAACCCGAGTGTCTTGGAATAACCTAAACGCGTTAGCATGCTAACGATTGTAATGAGATTATTCTTATGCAACAGGAGTACTTTAGTTTATTTATTTTTTATAAATGAAAAATAATAATACAATTAATTATTTTACAGAGAAAGAAGCACTATCTGCCGGCGCTTACAGCTTACTGCTCTAATAAAATTATATTGTCTAAGAATATTGATATGTATAATCTGCCAAATGTAGAAAAATATGCGGTAAATCTTACTGTCAGCACAACGATCAAAATTTAATCTATGTTAGTACAGAAAATGTTTTGAAGAAAAAATCTCCAACCTTGTGGATGTTTTCATGTCATTGTAAGGTAGCGTTTACTCGAACCATTTAGCAGGTACGAGTGCATGGCAATTGTGCGCAAAATCTGAAGTCGAGTGAAGGACATAATATCGTTCAGTCGACAGATAGGCGGAAGGTGTGGTTTGTGCCAGTTATATTAATACTCGAATATTGGTGTTGCACCCTGTTCCAAGTGTAGGAACAGATCCCCTCCCTTTCAGCATTTAATTAATAGTAAATAACCGTTAGTTTGCAACGGCTTTTCCTTTCTGATCCGCTAACTCGTAACCGTTAATACCTGCGTGACCAGGAATCCAAATAATTTAGCTTGGTACGTATTTCAGATATTAGGGGTGACTTGACAACTGCCTGATTTATGCAGACGATAAAAAGTCCCCAGGGTTCAGTGTCCAACTGGAATGCCTGAAATAATTCTTTAATTATTTTAATGACTATGGTCGACTGGTTAGATATTTTAGTAATGAGTTCATTGCTCTATTTTAAACCAATACTTAGTTATAATGTAGTTATGTTCCTTATCAGCTATTTTTTAATTGTATATTTCTGAATGGGAAAAAAAGCGCTGAAACCATTTGAATAGTTGCTGAAACTTTCTTTGCTAATATTTTTCCTATTTCATTTTCCTGTTCACCTTTGTGCACTGGAACTCATAATGGTTGAACTTTGTTATAATGACTCCAAATATTTTCTCTCCCATAAGGATGCTATATTTATTTTCAGAATTTGTAATTTTTAGGCATGTCATCTGTGTTATACATTGCTATTAAGAAAACGGTTTAGTCGTATTTCACTTGCCTGATCCTTTTCTTACCACAGTCTGCAATACCTTTTTTTTTGCAATTTTTTCGGTGACAATTTATAAAAGTGTAAGATTAGGTAAGTACACAGTCAGGATGTTTGGCAGGCATCTCCAGGATTTTCTTGTAATTCTTCTACATATTATCAATAGTTTTATTGCTTTGCTAATCATGCAGTCCAATAGGTTTTTCCTTGTGACTTTGCAGTCAAAGAGGCTCTTGCTAAAAAGCATTGTTCTGTCATGCTGCCATCTATGTATTGATATTTCCCTAATTTCGCTTAATATTCTTCTGTTAGCTTGCCTTACATATTCATAAATATACTCGTGTACAATTGGCGCTTTATAACTGCAGAAGCTATTTTTGGCCGAGCTCCTCCTCCAATTTGCGATTTTGCGTCTTTATGTTTTCCAAACAAATGGAAAGACCTACAATATATACTAAGCCCCTTCCGAACAGCTGATGGTTTTTTATAAGGAGCTTTTACTTCATGTCAGAAATACACACGGAGGGCCTGACAATTTACAATTAAAAAACCAACTCAATTTTTAATATTAATTTTTTATAATTTTAATAATTAAATAGTAGCAGTCACGAAGTACAATATTTTGATGAAGAATTAAGTACATTTAGAACGTTAGCACCTTTTTTTAAATGTTCTTAACTTCATTCTTCGGGAGCTTTGAAAATAGCTCTTGCCAATTTTTGATCTTGTGATTGTACTGCATCAAAAAGTATATAGTATCCCAAAATATAAAAAAAGCTTCATTAAAACTTTTACAAATATCAGAATCAAGTTTTAGCTGCATCGAACCCTTCTCCGCCAATTAAATTGTAACGTAGAAAAAGCTAACCTGATCGAATTTAAAAATAGGTAAAATTGGATGGAATCGTGGGCTTCAAACATCAATTGAAACGACACGGTACACAGAATACCAAACCTGACAAACGAAGAAGCCTTCGATTCAAGACAAAATACATAATAAGGCTGATTGTTTTTCAAAAGCCTCTATGGTTAAGTTACAAAAACTTTCTGCCAACATATAACATAAAGTTGGAACTTACGAAACCCTTTATAAAATTTATGAATAAGGATGTTGCAATATTTAATTATCTCAAATGTTGTTGCATTAAAGTTTTTTTTGGCACATGATGACCTAAGTACTTCAAACGTGGACGTATATGTACATGTATATATAGCTCCACAAATGCAGAGTGCTACTGCCATTCGGAAAGCCCTAGGTTTAAGTCCAACATCCAAATTTATGGAAAATTAAATCGTCGTCGTCTCTCGGCAGTGAATATCAAGCCCTTCGAGTGTGTTTCTAATATAAAAATCAAATCTCCTCAAAAAAACCTACGGCCGTTTGAAGGCGACTAAGAATAAATAGCAGGTCCCTCCATTTTTAAGAAAAACATCAAGACTAATACCAAAAATTAGATAAAAATCAACAATTATCTATTAGCATTTATCAGCTTCAATCCCTTTGATAAAGCTTTTGGATTAAAGAAATGTCTTCCTGGAATATCTCATTTTGTCTCTCACACCCCCAACTTTTTACATCCAAATAAAAGTCTGAATTCGAGTTATTTTATTCGTTCTTTATATTTTTTGATTTGCGGTTTTCATTAAAGTTTTGGACAACATTCACAAAAGTTTGCCATTTTCCCTGGTCACTCAGTTACTTCCAAGGGAATTTAAGGTTTCGGATTTCTTTCCAATGGCCGATAAAATTTTTTTATAATATTCTTTTTAATTATTTGAATTTATTGGAGGGATTAACCCGCTTAAGGATTTCTATGGAAAGAAATCTTATTTCATAAGAGTCATGTCGCCCTTGTTTCGGGATTCTACATATAGCTTAGGGCACAGATCTTGTTCGAATATTTTCGAGTGTTTGAACTGCGAAACTTGACACATTTGCCCATTGCACATTGGCCGTAAATTTTCGATCACACGGTCAAGCATTTTGAACAAAGCTTCAGCTTTTTTCTTGCAATTTTTTGTATAATTTTAAATTTATTTACAAAAGTCGTAAAAATCAATGAAATGCGAAAATTTTTTTTTTTAAATTTCTGCACTTCGAATTGTTAAGCAACTTGAAAATTCTAAACAAATATTTAAACCCTTGTTCAAATAAAAAGTATTGAGGGAGCATCGAGCTCCTCGTTCTTACTTCTAACGCTATTACTTTTCCTAGACCTAAATATGTATCCTTTGTTTCTGCCGTGTCATATTTAGTTAATTTGTCCTTCTCAAAGGAAAGGGTATTAACTATACTTCGGATTTATTGAGAGGTGCTTAAGATTAATCCGAATTTTCGTAACTGAAATTGTTACTATGACAGGAAAACTAGATTATGGGCAAATCCTACTAAGCTCAGCTAATGGAAATACTGAGTTTGGAAATGACTTGCAGAGCACATTATCGTCTGTGATAAATGCCAAAATTGCCTAAAATTGTAGGAAAAATTAAGCAGAACTTTCATATCGTATAAATACAGGTTAAGAGAGTGTTCCAACTTGAGATGTATTTAAATCTTTTTTTGGGAGCGTATATTCAGGCAAGGTAATATAATTAAATTCTGTTTTAAATTATTTTCGAATTAATTTTCATCTCTCATTTTTTCGGATTGGGTCTAAACTATCGAAATTCCGAAAATACTTCTAAGTTATTTTTTATATAATTTTTTTATATCATCCCTATGTAAAAGGAAGGGATTGTTCATTGGTGCGCCACTCCTTCTCAACCATTGGCTGCGTCTCTTGGCGTTGGCAAATCAAACAGGATCATAATTCGAAAATTTCCAACGCCGTCAAATCTGATGTTGTCCTTGCCCGCATCCGCACCTAGTATCTGGTTTTTCTTCGTTTGCTCAAGCAATCGATTATGAAAGTCACAAAATTAGGATTCACCTTGTCTAAGAACTGCTTGGGTATCGAACAAATCGGAGAGGTTCTTCCCGATTCTGCCGGAGCCTGTGATGTTGCTTAACGTCAGCTTACATAGCCATATATGTTTTGGAGGGATAAAAAATGACACTTAACGGTGTAGAGGCAGCTTCGTATCGTGCAGTCGTAAGTAATATAAGTAAATCAATTTTCCATGTCTAAAGACACACTTGAAAGGTCCGATCCCTTTATATACGGCGAGTTTTAGAACTGCACACATTTCGGTCGATGGGATTGATGCAGCTCTTCCATTTTATGGATTAGGCATAGCAAACTTACGTTCCAATACTCTTTGTCAGTTTTTCGCCCCTCTAATGGAGAAGCAATCTATTGCCGGGCCGATTTGTTGTTTCTCAGACAGGCACTTTTTATTCGAATGACCTTATCGTCGGCTAAAGAAGCATCTGTTCCATAGTAATTGCGAGAGCGTATTGAAGCTTCTCCAACAAATAGAGAGACCTACAACTCTAAGCTGCCTCCGAGCGCAGTTTATCTGGTAGGTAAGCACTGCTAGACAAATGGCTACAGAAGCCGCTGCAATACGAATAAGATTAATTTGATTTATTTTATTAAAATGCAAATTTTTCATAAACATTTTTGTATAATATATGCTTATAAGATTTATGACTTTTGTGCTTGTATAAAAACATATTCTAGATTGTGATATTTGTAATTGAATTGTTGACACCACACTGTGTGCAGTGCCATAATAAGGTAATATGCAAATTCGAGAAAAAATCACATTCAAAGCCTATTGGCTCGAAGGCGATTCAGTATGTTTTTTTTCAGCTGCTGAAAATTTAAAATTGAAAGTTCTTACAAACGATGTGAGTATGTACAATCACACATATGTAATGTACATAGATATCTTCACGCAGTAGAGCAGAACAGATCCTTTGTTTGCGAATGAAATAAAGAAAGCAGAGAATTCAAACGGTATGAGTGGCGCCACAGGAGGTCAAAGTGAGTTTTCCTGAGCACCGTTTTCACGTGGATTTATAATTTTTTCCAACCCACAGACGCTTTGCGCTCATACATGTGTGGGTGAATACTAGCATGTTAATATGTGTGTACCCACTATATGTGCTTTGGCGTAAAATACCTTTTGTAAGGTCTCAGCTGTGTGCTGCGTGCCACACAGTTGTTTACATGCAAAACAGCTACGTTTCAAAGCTAGGAGGAGGAAGAGAAATCTAGCTTCTTGTGATATTTCATCGCCATCTACATACATTTTCCTTGATTGGAAGAAGCCCCTGCTGTGCATATTCAGTGAGTGGAACGACAGTTAGGCAATTTTAAAGTGTAACGGTGAAGCCTAAAATATGAGAGCGCTTTTTATTATTTCCGTTTTTTTTTTGTTGTACTATTCAGCTTTCTTTTATCGCTTTGTTGTTCTCAGGTTTCTCAAAGCAGAGTACGTGGGCGAGTGTGTGCGCTTTGAAAATGAAATATGTATGTATGATATTTGTATACAAATACATATGTACATGTGTATGCTTACATATAATCCGTGCGGTCAAATAGGTTATAAAAGTTTGTCTTTATTTCATATTACGTAGAGCAAATTTGGAAACCTTCTCAATTCTTCTTTTACCTGTCCGTATTTACACTCTTTTAAATGCATGCATCATTTTTTGTTGAAACATACATATGTAGAAATACACTGCCATTTACAGTCATTTACGTTCTCCATACTTCTTCCTGTGAAATTTTTAACAAACGAAATTTCTCTCCAAAAATGAAAGCAAAGCTTTTAGCTGCGTGCAAAACAAGTCCTTTTTGTATGTCCTTCATTGCTTTTGTCTGTGAGCAGGATTTCAATTTCTTTGCTTGAAAACAATTTTTGTTTTTGAAAGGTTTTGTGTTGAAGTTGCAAGCGAGAGCTTCTTCTTCGAAAATGTTTTTTTAAAAAGCTCTTTCAAAGCACTGGGATGTAGAGAATCATAGAACAAAAATACTAGTGCTGGTAAAATATTTGAGAGGCTTAGGAATGCGAAATATGACTATAAAACCTATTTATTGTTCTAAACTAAATAAACGAATTATACCACTGGTTTTTTTATAATAATACAAAAATTAGGTATAAGAAAAGTTTTAAACATTTGAATGGTTTCTAAGAAATTTTCATATATATTCTCTCAGACAACTTTCGTGGAATATAGAATCACCTAAAAAGTAGACATATTCCGATTCAGTACACTTAGACCATTAAACGAGCAAACCAGCTAAACAATTTTCATGGTTTTTTGGAAGTTGTACATATGTGGAGTTTTTGAAATATAAAATTCGACAGATAACATAAAGGGTTAATCACGATATTTTTCGAATTTTCAACCAAAAATTCGTTCACGAAGATAGATGGAGCGTTGTCTGTGAGTATTCCGCGGCATTTTATTTCCCAGTAAAAATCACAACCCTTGAGTCTATCCTAATGAATGACTGAATTCACCAGAACCTACTATCTCTCATCCTTGAGCCATAGCATTTCCCAGTATACTCAATTTAATACGGGATTGAGATACATTCCGTCGACATAATCACCCATTACAGTTGAGTCCAGAGAAAAATGTGTAACCTCAAAAACTCCGTAGCACCGAAGACGCTATTCCTGTTGTGGAGCGACTATCAAACCAGCATCGCACGAAACAACCATCAAACCCGGCGAACATTCGGTGTCCAAAATGTAATGAGATAAGATGAGCACCGAAGCTCACTCTTAGTTGAATGGGTACAATAGTAAAAAACTACTGCATTTGGAGATATGATAGTCCACAAGACATTATGGAGACGCCATTGGATCCTCAAAAAGTAAATCGTTGGTATGCTTTCTGAGCAGAGGGAATTACTTCATAAAAATTAAGCCAAATGTCATTAGAGAACGCTCTATAGGCTAATGATTTTTTCGTCACTTAATCGGAATATGTTGCTAAACAAAACTTTTGGTTTTAATAAGGCGGTGCTACATGACAAACAATCTATTAAAAGAAACTTATGGTGAGTGCATTATCTTGCGGTGCGAGGTTGTGGCATTTCCTCAAGGACCGTGCGAGTTAATACCGTTGGACTATTTTTAGTGGAGTTATGTGAAGTCGCTTTTCCACGCAGATAATATATCTATATCAGCTTCCCTGGTGAAAGCCAGAGGTAAACCAGCATCATGTATATGTTTAATCGTAGATAGAGGGGTTCCTTCCTTGCTAGTTCGTCTGCCATGCAGTTGCCTGAGATGTCCTTGTGTCCACGTTCCCAGACCACGGCTGTACTGCACTTCGTTAAGAGTTTGTTAAGAGTGTTTCTACAGTTTATGGCCCCTTTTGACGTTATACCGTTACATTGAAGAGACCTGATTGCAGCCTGATTATCCGAGTAATTTGTAACCGATTGTCCTGCTGCCGTAGATTTGTTAAACCACTCCGATTGCCGAGAATTACGTCTGAGAAAACACTGCAGTCTTCCAGTATTCTCATGCTTAATGAAATCAACGGAGAATAAATTCCCCAAAACACATTCCCATCAGGCTTCGAGCAGTCTGCGAAGGTGGCTTTTGTTCCCTGGTTGGGAGCGTTGGTGCTTTGCCATTCGCATCTGTTTGGCATTCTCGTGGAGAAAAGATTATCGAAGCATACACTGGAGGTGGTGTAGTCCAGCTCCTTCGGCACTTCTGTAATGGATAATATTTTTTGTATATATAATCCTTCCAAGGTTGAGCTGCATTTAATCTTATTGCGTTGCAACCCGATTAAAGTTTCTCGTATTTATCCAGAGAAAGGAGGTTGAGAACAGTTAGCAGTGCTTTCAAGGGAGTTTATGGCAATGCTACCGTTATCAGGATGGACGTCGATCGTTGATCTCTCCCTAATTTGCTCCTGAAGGTGATTTTATTGAGAGCTGTCCACCATACGATGAATAGGATTCGTCTAAATACCGATATCTATACCCAGTGCACGAAACTCGGCAGTGCAATTATAGTTTTCCTTCGTTGTCCGGCTGCAGTTTAATCTTCTAACTAAAATTATCCCAGGTATTTGACTTCGGGAAAAAGTTTAATCTCCACGCCTTTTAGTTTGGGTGGTTTAAAGGCATGCGGTTTGCATCTCCTAGTAAATAATACCATCTTGGTTTTAACAGGAATAACGTCCTTCCTGATATCTCTGCACCATTTCTCAACCAAAACAAGAGCAATTTGGAGTAAATCACTTCATGTCTGTAGGTGTCAGGGCAAGGTCATCAGCGTATGACATAACGCCACAACCTCTGCCATGAAGTTTTCTAATCAGCGTATTCGCTGCTAAACACCTCTGCAGTGGCGATAAAACTCCACCTTGAGGGATTCCTCTTGTTGTACGTCTGGCAATGCTGGCGCTCCCCATCTCCGTGTCCCCATCTCCGTGAAGATGATCCTGTTCCTCAGAAGAGACTCTACTAGATTCACCAGGGGCTTTTGAAGAGCCATTTCCTGAAGAGAACTGGATGGTGTTTTTTGTCTGTATTTTCAATAAATCTTAAATTTTTTTAAACCATTTTTGTGTGCACGACAAAACACAAGAGAATCCTTTATAGAATTATGAGATAGCGGAGGTGGAAACAACCACACATAAAAACCCAACTCACGTTGAGCACATAGCTAGATTATCCAATTAGCAACCGAGTTACTACATTGACAAACATATGTATATATTAACACAAAAGGTAAAACATGTCAAACACATTACGACAATTTTTATGTTGAAAACGTAACGTTATTTTGTTTTTAATGTGATAATAGGGGCACACCGAGAGAACTTATGATGTTGCCTTGTCACTAAATTCATTTTGCATTGGAAATGAAGTTGTCTGAGCTCTGACCTCTGCAAATGTAGGCAGTCTTTTGCTCCTTTGTCTGATTATTTTTCGAGAATGTGTGTTTTCAGCTCATCTAAAATGGAAATTATTTCTTACACAATAACTCATGAACGCATTATTAAACGCGACCTTTTTGGCGTTCTACTGAACCAATTCTTTTCTTTTTTTTGCAGCACTTGTGGTTTCGTTTAACTAATAATTCGAGTCTTCCGTTGTAGCGTCGAAATTTATTCACGTATTGAAGAATCTGCAGTTACACATTTAATATTTACAACCAAATTTACATATATACGTATGTGCTTCAATGCGTCTCCCGAACACATCTGCAGCGATGGATGATAAGCCTGCCGTTGCGAAAGTGAGCAAAAGGCGGAAAAGTTTTTTTAATTATGCAATGACGACCAAGCGATGGCACAGAATCGCTTCAGCTACATCAGTTGCCAACGAAACGGGCGAGGATGTCGTCCTATTCTTTATGGTGATCTTTATTGCCATGATGACCAGTACAGGTGAGTCGTAAGAATCCTTTTTTCATATTTGTATATTTGTAAATGCTTAAAAACTCATGTACATCGGTTAATATGAAAACACAATATGTACTCGTACTTATATATGTATGTAAAAACATATGTATTCATGTTTGGTTGTGAAAAATTACTAGGAATGCAATTAACATTGAAGTTGATAATTGAAATTTATGTTTTTGCGGCTACCAGTGCCGCAGTTTGGCATTTAACATGTGTATATATATTTTCTGTACCCAATCACATTCACATTGGTTATAATAACTCTGTGTGTCTGGTGGTAGATTATATAAGCTAAAGGTAATCAAGAAAAATGGAGCTATACGTAGGAGCGTAAGCATAGTAAAAAGGTCACCATTATTTTTGCTTCAAGATGTTCCTTTATTTAATGTGCATTTCCCGAAAATTGTCATTTAAACTGCCCGCGCTGGATATTTCTCAGCACTTTTTTGTTAAGTTGGTAGCACGGTCCTTATTTAGTATGCCATAAATGAGCGCGATCTGTCAACCAGTTTGTTTGCAGCAGCTGTTGACCTGAGGTTCCTCTGCAAATTTACATTTGCGGCCTCAATCGAGTCGAAGCTCGGTCCACGGAGTGGTAACTTCAACTTTTGAACCAAAAAAAGTCGCAGGGGGCCGAAGCTGGTTGATTGAATACATTGAACGAATTTTAGCTCTTTAAATCATTCACAACTATAGTTCGATTCGGTGGCGCATTATCGTTATGAAAGTTTCTGGAAGTTTATTGGCTCACAATTCCATCCGTTTACGATAATTATCTAAAAAAAAATCAGAAACTTTTTGGTCTTAATGTACTTAAATTTATTCTGGAATTTTTTTCGTTTTGCGGGTAATGCCTCTTTCTCTCTTCTTAATAACAAAAAGTTGGGGCAATCGAGTTAGACAGCCTTCTCTTGATGTCAATTCTTCACCAGCGAAATCATTTGCCAAAGACAGAAACATGTGATAATCACTTTATGGGCGGTCTCGACATAAGAACCTCTCAACCAGGCTCTTGGAGCTTCCTGTTAGTCCATATCGATGTGTGTGGTCAGGTGCGGTTCCTCCTGTTTTGTCAACGCTGGACGCTTCTGGGCAACTCCTTCCTTAGACTGTCCTATTGCTGACAGTATAAGTCCGCCTTAACATTTTGACAGTTGAGAAACAGCACAAGATATTCTGTGCGTAAGTGATCAACGTTTCATCACCAGTTACCGCTAGCTTCTGAAAGGGTTGATTTTTATGCGATTCATCAGCGATTCGATACATCGAGCATCTTTGTGCATCCAGCTTCACTCAAGAGCTGTCTAGATGTAAGTCTTTGATAACCTACTGAGTTAAATGGTCAACACTTACTCTATTAACTTTTTTCGTACAAGATATCTCTTTAACGTTATCTAATAATTTAATCGCATTTAGAGTTCGCGATGCACAGAACACTATCGTCATTCATTGCAAAAAATATTAGTTTTCTTTTTACTGAAATCTTTATTTGAGTCGATAGAACAACCGATTGAGTATAATGTTTAAAGATTTTTTCTTGTAGATGTTGGCCGCGGTTTTGGTGCAAATTGCTCATACCAGCGTCCTTTTTTTATACTCTCCCCTACATATTGGTTAGTATCTCTTGAATAAATCGGCTTCCAGTTCATCAAACTTTCCGGGTTTTTGCTATAGACATGGGTCTTCATAGACCCTCAAAAAACAGTTAAGAGGTCTCAAATCACAGGATCTAGGTGGCCCCGGACGTGGAAAAATATTTGCAATATTTTCTACGGAAGGAAGTAACAGAGACCTGATTGCTTCTAACGGCGCAGAATCGATGATTCATTGGCGTATACAGCTGCGCTGCTTTGTTTTCCTCGCACTCATCTTATGTATGGTGGTGGCGAATCCCTCGTGAGCTGTTAAAAATAATACTTTCAAAAAAAAAAACCGGATGCAAAAAAAACACTATTTATATCGGATAGACAATTTTTCCCTTAGTTATTGACCATGGTATATCTATTTGCTGATTCGATCATCTGGCGAGTTCTAATGCTAGGTTTTCCTGAATGTCGTGAAAAACAACGAATCTTAAAACAATTTTTCGGAACAGATCATAACTCATATATAACATCACCCCGGACCACTTTTCATCTGACGGATCGGTTACTGCAGGACTTAAATCTGTCAACACTTCGAGTTGGTGAATCTAAGACATTCAATGTCATGAATTTGATTGCAGATCATTTCTTCTCCTCTTTCAATGTGGTTTTTACTGTTTTTATAACATACATAGTACATACATACATACATATTATTTATTTTATTTATTTATTTAATAATAATAACAAAGCATTAGTACAATAAGATTTCCATTTCTTTTTTAGTACAACAGAGATAGTGTGAAGAATAAGTAAATATTACTTTACAGATACCTTAACAAAAATTATAATAAAAATAAAAATAATTATAATATATAATGAGTTGAGTATGACAAAAACTTAAACAATTATTGAATGGTCAGTCTATGTTTGAAATTTGGCCTTTAAAATGCATATATATGTGGTTCTTGAAATTGCTTCTGTTTAATTTCCTCCTTAAATTAGCAGGAAGAGAGTTCCATAATCGACTAGCATTGACAAAGAACAGCCTTGATGATTGCTGTGATCTATGAAAAGGTATTATTATATTACCTACTCTGGCTGACCGAGTAAACGATAACTTGGAAAAAAGATAACTAGGTGATTGAGTCATGATGAGCTTGCAAAGAAAAATACAATTTCTGGCTTTATGATAGTCCGCAATCGTACATCCTAATATCTGATCTTTCCAAGACGAAATGTGCTCATATTTGGAAAGACCAAACACGTACCGTGTGACATTATTAAACATAACGTCAATTTTACGAGCAGAAAAACTGTCATGTTTGCTGTATACGACTTCAGAGTACATGATGACCGGAAGAATAATTTGTATAGCAAGTCGGCGTCTGGTAGCAGTGGGTGTATAGATAGCTGACTGCCTAAGATTCCTCAGAATGAGATAGACCTTACTAACTATGGAGTTTACATGATCCGTGCATGTAAGATTAGAGTTAATAATGTATCCTAAGTTTTTAATCTTGCTGACTAATTTTAAGGGATAATTGTCTATGAATATTGGGGGCAAAAAATCCAGATTTGTCAGTTTTCTAGCACTGATTGGCAGCACAANAGAGCAACTGGATAGATTGTCAAGTAAATTATTTGTATAAGAGTCGTTGACAAGAAGATTAACATTAAAATCACCACATACTATAACTGAATTGTACTTAACAACATATAAAGAAATTACATCAAAAAAAGGTTTGACAACATTAGTTCGGTGAGGATTATAAACACAAGAAACAACAGTCTGGAATTTTTTATGGCTTACTTCTACAATTAAATATTCAATATCGCTATCGGCAGATTTTGAAAGTAATTTCATAGAAAAGATGTCCTTACAAAATATTGCAACCCCACCTCCTCTTCTTCCTGGTCTGTCATTACGTATTAATTTGTAGTTTTTTATGTTAGTAGACGAGTAACATAAATCCTCATCAAACCATGTTTCAGAAACACAGATGACATCAATTGATGAAAGCTCAAATGTGTTGCGAACATGGTTTTTACTGTGTATGCAATAGCGGATGATAGAGTGAGATCTGTTATTTTATATTGAATATACTTTGAGAGGCAGAAACCAAACAGAAAATATAAATATATTTAGGAATAGAGAAAGCTGGTCAGGTCATCATAGTTATGTAATATAAGTCGTTTCGACAGATTTGGACGGAACAGGAAAGGGTGATGAGTAGATGAGTATAAGTGTTCATTCAACAAGTTGGTTACCGATAAAATTTGCTTCTATTCCTATGCATAGAACTGACTGTCACACTGAAAGCTACGGTAAACATTTATTACTACGAGGGTATCTCCACATTTAATGAAATCGACTTATTGGGAAGCCAGGTTGACAGTCTGGCCAGGATTCGAGTTTAGGTTTGACAAAATTACAAAAATATAGAACCTGAACAAAATACATATTTCTTCAAAAAACTGGATGATGATAAGACAAAAAGTTAAGATTAGCGTATTTGCTTGTTACTAGGATGATGAGTTAGTCTCAGTATTATGGGAATATAGTTTTTTTTAATCTTCGATTAAGAAGCAAGCATCTCTTGGGCATCAAATCGAAAATATTATTACTTTTACTAAAATTAAGCAATAAGGAGAAAGTTAAAGTTTATAATATAAATAAGTGGAGAGAGGAAATATTACAGCCAAAGAAAAGCTAATTGAGAATGAGCTCTTATCAAACAATTGTAATGGAATAATAAAGAGTAAATTCAAACCCCAAATTTAAGCAATATATTGTAAGTGGATATGAGACACGAGCTCACGAATCAATCAACAAGCTTCAAGGTGAAATTTTCCAACTTTATCGAAACCGTAAAATCCCCGGCAAAGACCCCCCTTTAATTGCTTTCTTCGATATTTTGCGGTGTTGTGGTCACAAAATTTTTTCCAGAACACCATAGGTCAATTTAGGAATCTCAACCGTGTGTGATATGGCCCCGACCGACTTTCAGAAAGTCAGAATACTACTTCAAAGCAGCCGATTTCTGTCGATACAAAAGGTAAACTAAATTTTTAGATGAGAGCTTAAGATGATTTCAGAAAATGCATTTAAAAATATTTAGATGATTGTATTATTCGGAAAGGTAATGCTTTGATAAATAATTTAAATTTTTTTAAGCAGTCGTATCTGTTTCCAGGTTTTTAGCTCCTAAATACTGGATATAAAATTGGTTGAAATATTTGAGATAAGTATTAGGCAAAGGCTGTCGACATTACTCTTAAATTAGCCATTAATTTCATATCCGATCCGCTATCCGATTGACACAAATTTGTTTATGAATTTAAAGGCAATAATCACGGAGTTAACTAAAATAGTTATGATCAACAAACACTGAAAAA